AACATCTTTGTTGGTATGTGGTGCTGAGGTTCGAACCCGGGCCGCACGCATGCCAGGCGAGCACGCTACCGCTTGAGCCACATCCCCAGCCCAATGGTGACACTTTAGTAAGAAGTGAATCACTGTCCAGCATCACTCTCAGGTAAAACTGGAACATAAGACCAGATAGGAAACCTGTTGGAAGGAAAGATGACTTTTGAATTCCTTATTGAAAGTTTATTAACTGAGACATCACTTTCTGATTCATAAACTTCTAGAATGTCAAAGATAGAAGGGGCTATTAGAACAATCCAGTTCAGCTCCCTAAGCTTATGGATGATGTCTTAATCCATTGGGGCTGCTGCAAAAAGTGCCATAGACTGGTGGTTTACAAACAACAGACATTTATTTCTCACAGTTCTGGAGGCTGGAAGTCCATTATCAAGGTGCCAACATACTCAGTGTCTGATAAGGGTCTGATTTCTGGTTCATAGTTGGCCCCTTTTTGCTGTGTCCCTGTAGAGTGAAAGGGATTATCTAATTCTCTGGGCCCTCTTTTATGAGGGCACTAATACCAGTCATGAGGGTGGAGCCTAATCACCTCTCAAAGATGCCACCTCCTAATACCATCACCTTGGGTGTTTGGTTTCAATATATGAATTTGTGGGGGGGGGAACACAAACATTAGACCATAGCAGATGGGGAAACTGAGGCTCAGAGGGTTTTTTTTTTTCCTGGAGACAATTCACAATAGATTCTTTTCAGGTACCTTCTGAATGACAGGAAGGACCAGAAAAGAAAATCAACCAGACAAAAATAAAAACAGCACTCATTTCGGACATAAAGAGGATTTCCAATGCCACAAGGTGGTGGTGGGAATTGCTGTGACTACTGTGGGGCCTTCAGGATCCTCACAACCACCTGGAACTCAGCCTGTTAGCTCAGAGCAAGGCGAGATGAATTACTGAAACCCTGGAATTGAACACACTATTCTTACTAATAAACTCACTTAGCTACAACCCCAAAAATGCCACTGGATGTCAAGAGAAGATTCATAATGACACTTAAGTTGGCAGAAGCTCCCATTTTGAAGCTGCAGCCATAACACATTACCCACGTTGCATCAAGTTCATATTTATATCTGACAAAGGACGAATAAGAGGTGGCGAGGACTGGATGTTTTTGTTTCCTCTACCACGGGAGAGGAGGAGTGTTGGTCCATACTGTTTCTGACAAGGCGCCTCAATTAGGCCTTAAAGAATAGGTACTACATGCTTGATGAAATAGGAGATGTTACATGGATCTGGGGAGAATTTGACTGCTTGGTTTGAGGTTTAAGTTTGATGTTCTCCCACCAGGGACCCACCAGTCACAATAATTACATTGCTGTCTTCTCATAATATGATTTATTTAGATGTTGCTTTATGAATTAATTCCCTCTAATTGCTGCTCCTCTCACTGTGCATCAAGGTTTTTTGCTTTCTGTAGTACGGAGGAACATGATCCTACAGTGCAGTAATTAGTCCAATTAGGAAGCAAGGCAGATGTGGAAAACCAATTAGTTTCAGGAATATGTCTGTGCCTATGTATCCCAAGCACTGTTCAATTGAAATTTAATAGCAACTTAATAAAACATTGTTTTATTCATAAACCATCTCCTCCTTCCAAGCTCCCATTTGTTTGTTTATCTGTTCATTTCTGAGCGAGCCAGCGCCAACTTGCTTCATGCTTGGTGATTCTCTTTCTTTGCAGAGATTATTATTATTTTCTCCCTGTGATTGAAGCAAAACGATCCTTATTTGTAGAGAGAGGTAGAGGCCAGCGGTGGGGGGAGGAGTGAGGTTTGGGCATCTTCCCTCTCCTTTATAAATGTAACCATCACTGAGTCCAGGGACTTAAACCAGGAGATATCAATGCTCTCTCTCTCTCTCTCTCTCTCTCTCACACACACACACACACACACACACACACACACAGCCTGAACACCTGGAGGGTATGATTTTATTTAAACAGAAGTAGTACAACTGAACACTGTTTTCATCATCTTGCTTTTATTAAATAGCAATATAATCTAGATGTTTTTCAAGTTAGGACATAAATTTTCTTCATTCTTTTGCATGTTGCAAGTTTTCCATTTTTACGGCTATCCCATATTTTGTTTAACCTGTTCTAACAAACATTAGAACATTTGAAGTGTTTTCCTGATTGTGTGATTACAAATACTATATCAATTAATATTCTTAGGTATCTTTAAATGAATATCTTGGAATGACCCTATTGAATTAGATTTATTTTTAAAATCATTATGCATAAATCTGTCATACTGATGTACTTTGACCTTGAAATATATCCTTTATTTATGGGAGCTTCTTTGAAATTGATAGGAAATGTAGTGTAAAAGAAAATGCCCAGGGAGAAATGAGATTCAGGAACTTAATAGTATACCAGAGACTACGCTCGCTCCACATTTAAATGCACCTATCATGTTCTAATTTTACATTTTACTTTCTATTTATATTTAATATCTGAAAACTAATGATGTTGGAG